AAAGAAGCCTTGTCAAAATGGTGCCAAATGCATCGATGGAGTCAATTCCTATAAATGCGAGTGTGCTCCTGGTTTTAATGGAAAGAACTGCGAAACCAGTGAGTCAAGTTTAGATCTATTTCATTTATCGCAGCTATATGGTCGAACTAACAACATTTCTCACAGATGTAGACGATTGTGTGAAGAAGCCTTGTCAAAATGGTGGTGAATGTATCGATGGAGTCAATTCCTATAAATGCGAGTGTGCTCCTGGTTACACTGGACCAAACTGTGAAACCAGTAAGTCGTCTAAACGTGCGATGAGTTTACTTCACGAATATTCTAAAAATCCTTCATGTAAATTGAATATATCATGTTCTTCTTTAAAAGGAAAGAATGGATGAGTCTTTGTGCATATATTAACTATTTTTAATAGATTTTAGATTTCTTGTAAATGCACTTTTCCAGTTATTAACGCCATTCTAAAATTATTTTTTTCTTTTGTTTATGTTGTAGTTCCTTCTGGTAAGTTTTTACTCTTGTTAATAGTCCCAAATGCATGCTTCCATTTTATCTGCAATGTCTTACGTTTTGCTGGAAATAGCTGCCCACACAAGCAAATTAAAATGTTTAAGGACAAATAAGGTTGGCCTGTGAAACAGCATTGGCTTTATGCTGGAACGGTATACCCCTAGCAAGGAGGTATGAGCCACAATACATCACGTACTGGTACACTTCCCACTAATCAGCAGTTGGGTGTATGCTATACATAGGGAACAGTGTGTGTTTGTTCTTTATATTCGGACCCCTGGGGAGGGAAGGGTAGGGAACAACTTGTATATTCACAAGCTTGCTCAGGTAAACACAATGCATAAGATTAGGCGCTGCCATCAAGTAAGGTTCTTCTAGGTACTGGGTTTTAAATTGCCTCAGTCGTGACTGAGAACGTAGGACCGAAGGTTATCGTTGGTGTCGTCAATAATTGTATTTTAAATTTCATAGAATGCAAAAATTATAAGACATTGAACCGTCGTGACCGAGCCATGAACGTATATACCTCAGGAGTGAATAGGTGTGATCAGTGGGATATCAGCAAAGGCTGGTACCGCTTTGAAGGCGGGGCAGGAACAGCTATCGCAACTAAATGCCCTTCTTTATACTCTTGTGGAACTTTCCACCCTGGATGGATGAAAGGTACTCATCCAAGCCAAGCAGAGGTTGTCACTAGACAAGCATGTTACGTTGTTAGTGGTAACTGCTGCGGGAGGAATAATAATATTCGCGTGCGCAACTGTGGTGGGTTTTATGTGTACGAGCTGGTTAAACCTCCTGCTTGCCGTCTGCGGTATTGTGGAAACGGAAAATAAGGTAATCAATAGAGGCATTTTATTACCTTTAAAGAAAAGTAAGTCTTTATGTATATAGAACTGCTTTGTACGTGTTTCGAGCTTCCTTCCAAACTGATCGAGCTTCTCACGTGTTCAGCTGTCTTCAAACAAGATTTCAAATATCTCCTAGCAGTCAATGTAGTCTTATAGCATTGATTCATGCTTGATGACATTTCCTTCAAACTTTTAGGCTCCCGATAAAAAGAAACAGTTTTTTGCAGATTTCCTACTTGGGGTTTACGATTTTTGAACGTGGACGTGGTACGAAGGTTTACAGAAATCTAAATACAAGTCTTTTTTTCTTTTATTTCAGAACGTTAATCTTTCTAATGTCATTGGCCCACTGAAAGTAGCCATTGGTAGTTTATAGCATGCATGTACTTGACATAGGACTGGGGATCTCGATCTCCATACACAAATATACCATTAGTTTCCAATAAAGACGTCGTGTCTGTGATGGCGAAGTGCATAGTGGTATTAAAAAACAATCCAGTTAGAGGAAGTCTCATAAAATCTATGAAGGACGAAGTTTCTTTGCGAAATAAACGTCATCTGTTGTCAATACCTTTTTGGAAGAACGTTGAATAATATGTCTGTACACCAAAGTACGGTCTAAAGCAATAATTTTGAAAAGAAAGTTTATTGTTTATCAATGTCTCGTAGTTTTTATAAGACGTCCGCCATCTTGATTCTCTTATCAATACCATGATGCACCTCGCAAAAACAGATATGACGTCATTAGTTGAAACCATCATGGCGACACCGAACATAGCGATAGTACTGCCGGCATTTAGTCTAGCAATTGTACTAGTGTAGAAATAGTAATATGAAATCATTGGGCTAATAGCAAATAAAATCATAAGAATATCAAATACAAATGATTTGTACAAAACATGTTATTATTTCTTTATAAAATGATTGAATTAAATTGTGTAATTTGAGATACCACTATTAAGGATAAATACCACTCCTCTAAGCCAATCAAATTGCACAATTTTATTCAATCATATTAGATCTAAGAACATTTATAGGTATTATATATGGTATACATATCATTTCATTTAATCAAGATTTGGAACAACATTGTAGAGGGGTGACGGGTCAGAGGTGATCCGTTTATTCAGCGAAAGAATGTAGATTTCTCATCTTTTCGCTTCAACTTTGGTTTTCAATGAATTCGATCGCTAGGTAACTAACTCAACATTAACTCAATGTTAACTTCAACTAAATCAAGTTTCAACTCGATAGATAGCTAATCCCTGATAACATAGGATTATCTAAAACACTAATCAGGGTTAGTTTTGAAAAGATCGGAGGGAGCATACATTGTAGTCGGTCGCAGGGCACTATACTGGGACCAACACGATATGAACGCATTCGTCTTAATTCATAACTCAAAAGCCACGTGACAACATTTTTGGCAATAACGTGATCCCAAATTTTCTTGTTAGATATCTGTTCGTGTGAAAATTGAGATAAAATTTATCCTCTATTATTTATGAAGGCTGAGTCATTAGACAAAACTCTCTGCCATCTTTCATTTTAATAATAAATTAAATATATATTGACCACTAATTAAAGAACTTGACTGCTTTCTTGTATCTTAAAAGGAAAAAAATATCTGTGTAGCTAGAAAATAGCCTTGAGATTGCGTGTCGCAGCAACTTCGGTCTGCGTCTCTCACTGTGGCAACATATCCTGAGTTGTCATGGCAACATATCCTGAGTTGTCACGTGTCCCCACAAAAGGGTCGACACTTACGTTTTGGTTGCGAGACTTTGCCAGACGGATTTGATTGAAGTATCCTCAGAATTAAAAGGGAAAGCATTTAACGAGCATATTGTGTAATTAGTATCCATTTGTGTTGTTTAGGTGAATTTTCAAATGCTCATTAGTAATCTCTATATATCGCATCAGATTTGGTTTCTTATTGGTGGAAATAGTGTTCGGTCCCTCCTATCATCATCGGGGACCTAGTGTATCTAACACTGAGAAGTCAGACAGCGCACAAAAGCTAGCTAAGCATTCGCAGAGATCTCTATTGAAGGTAAGAAATGTTTCATAGAGCAAACGCAGGAAAACCATGAAATAAAATCACACAAAATACTAACAAATAACGACTATTTAGAGACAATTTGTCAGTATCAATGAACCAGAAACCAGAACGCAATGAAGATGAATCCACATGGAATCATTTTTCATTCATCTTTATTGCGTTCTGGTTAATTGATGCTGACAAAATGTCTCTAAATAGTCGTTATTTGTTAGTATTTAGTTTGATTTTATTTCAGGGTTTTCCTACGTTTGCTCTATTAGTAGAGATATTGTATGTGTAGGCTTACTTTTGTACCCATCGTGCAGATACCTTACCAAAATTTAGCCTCCTTGTAATCAATTGTTTGCAAAAGCTACTCGAGCACTCCCACTGGCAAATTCTTCTTAAGACAACTAAACCACAACATCTGTTCTTTACCTATATTTTGAATTTATTCAGGCAGTCATGATCAATTTCATTCACAATGTGAATTAACTGTTTTTTCTAAGGTATTTTGAGCATTTAGCAAATTAGCACCATTTTTAAATGGTAAACTCCATGTTATTTGTGTTTTGAATGTTTCTCAGATAATATGAAGATGAAGGCTGTTCAGTTGTCGATGATCGTAATAATGGCCTTTATTTTAGCAAAGGTAAGTGCTCTGCAAGTTGTTAGTGCGAAAATAAGCATTTCAAACTTCTAATTGTTAGCCCTATTTGCCACTAACAACAGTATAACGCACATTGAATTGTTGGACTTATATTTGAAAAAAGGGATCGATTGATTTCCCAAGGTTCAGATTCATGGCCGGGTATATAAGCGCATAAGCATGATTTTCTTTCGTTAATTTTCCAATTGATGAGGGAGTGATTCTTCCTATTTTCATATATTTGCTTAAGAAACTGGTCATAATTGCAATTAAAGTGGGATTTGTTATTTTGTTCACGCAGGTACAATCATCAGGTAAGTGGATACAACAGTTACATTATTCGCGGCAGTTGTTGTGATAGCTTTCGGGAGCTTGTATGATTGTGCAAATGCATAGATCAGTACGAGGACAACACATGTCACCGTTCTGTATATCTAGAACCATTGGCGCTAGAGAAAAAATAAAGCCGGAAATGTGGTAAATTATTTAGGCTGTTTTGAATATTTTTTCGAAAAGACTGCAGACACAACCAAGCCGAACACCCAATTCGTACTATTGGTGAACCCCAAAAGACAAGCCTCTGTTTTAGTTAGTTTTGCCCTGTTTCAATAATCTTCGACTAAAGGATATGCAAGTAAATTAACATCTGATAACATATCTTCTGCATCGTCCTGAAAAAAAAAAAAAAAAACACACTAGAAAACCTTCTTGTGTTAAAGGAAGATTGATCACTACCCAATAAGTGAGCCTTCCAGTGTATTATGGTCGTTAATCTTCTTGCTGTAATCAGATCTTATAAATTCACATTTTTTTTACAGACATTACATGCTCAAGGAAATTCGAGCGTGTATCGCCCGGATGTCTCAAAGCCAACGATGTTAAATCTGGAGAAGCTCTTCTACCTAAGTTGCTCTTCACTGATCGCAATCCAAAATCACCTGTTCACAGTAATAAAAACGTTAAGTGGTATGACTGGAACAACTATATTGAAGAAGTGGCATGTAGGTGTGCTGAGAGCGCAGCCAAGAACGGCTATCAGTATTTTGGTATACAGTCATATGGTGAGTTGAAATTATGATTGTCTGTAAAACAATACAAATCATTTAAGCCAGAGGACACCTTGTTTTCTCATACAATGAGTAACAAACAGCTGCTCTATTACCCTATGACAGAACACGTCTAGTTCCAATCAGGTCATCAAGAATTCTAATCAACTTTTGATAAACCAAAGATGTCTGTCATGCGGTTCTGTTGAAGTCTATAAACATAAGTGTTTAGGTGGCTCACATTGCTTATTTTCACTGTGATCCTAATAATAAATTGTGATAAAATTGCGTTTGTCAATAGAATGCTCAGAAATGAAGTGGAATTAAATCACCATTGATTTTTTTTATTTAGGGGACTGCTGGGGTGGTACATTTAAGCAGGGTAACGCCGGTCTGTCTAGTGTTATAAGCGACAAGTGCTTAGGTAAAGATTACAATAACTGCTCTGACTTTGCTGAATACTGCGTTGGAGAAGAGCATGCCATCTTGATATACAAACAACAGATAGGTATTGCTGAAAATATGAATGTAAGGACCGCATTGCACTATGAGAACATGATATAGAAATAGTGGAACGTTATTAATAGTACTAGGATGGAGGTTATTCCGGCGAGGTCGGAAATTCAGAATTTGTTCCGAATTTTTTTTCCAGTGGTCTTTCTCACGGAATAACCTTCTTCCTAGCGCCATAACTTTCCTTTATTTCTATATCATTGCCGAAAATAGTGGAATTTGAGCGGTCATTAACAACTACATTTATCTAAGAAGATCCTGTAACTTTACATCTTTTTACAGACCATTCATGCTCAAGGAAATTCAAGCGTGTATCGCCCGGATGTCTCATATCCTACGATGTTAATTCTGGACAATTTCTTCTGCCTAAGATGCTTTTCACTGATCGTGATGAAACATCAATTGTATACAGCAATAAAACGTTTACGTGGAATGACTGGAACAATTATTTGGAAGACGTCGCATGTAGGTGTGCTGAGAGCGCAGCCAAGAACGGCTATCGGTATTTTGGTATACAGTTCTTTGGTGAGTAACAATACAGATCAAATAAGCCAGAGGACATCTTGTTCTCTCATTTGAGATGTGTAACAAACAGCTGCTCTATTACCATTATGATAGAACACGTTGGCGCGTCTAGTTCCAATCAGGTCATAATGATTCTTCCAAATCAACGTAGACAAAGCGTTTATCGTAAATGAACCAAAGATGATTTCGAGGAACTGTCTCTCTCATTAATACTCGGTCTATAGGGATTAGGTCTTTCTGTCATGCAGTTGTGTTGAAGTCTAACAAAAATAGTGTTCAGATGGCTCACATGGTTAATTTTTACTGTAATCTAAATATTAAGTATATAGTTTACAACATGATCGGCCGTGTACAATCTTTAATACCCATACAACACGTGCGCGAATGTTGTAAACGACTTATGAAAATTAAATGGAGACAAGTGACGAAAAATGATGAACTAGGTTACTGCTGAGTTAAGTCCCTATCACGCATGCGCAATTTACTGCAACATAGAACATGATTTAAAATTATTTTGAATGATTTTTCAGCCCACATATAAAGCCGGCCACCTGTCTTTGATTCCTCCAAACCTTGTAAGGGTCTATGACTTAACTCAGCAGTAGCCTAGTTCATCATTTTTCGTCATTTGTCTCCATTTAATTTTTCATAAGTCGTTTACAACATTCTAAAGGCATTTATTGGAGTAATAGTTCATGAGTTTCATCAAGTTTGATAAAATGCCGACTGTAAATAATGCTCAGAAATACAGTGAAAATGGCCATAATGATTGTTCTTTTGTTTGATTAGGAGAGTGTTGGAGTGGTCCATTTAATCAGGGTAACGCCAGTCTAGCTACTGTGAAAAGCGACAAGTGCTGGGGTAAAGATTACAAGAAGTGCTCTGATGTTGCTAAATACTGCGCTGGAGAAATATTTACCATTATGATCTACAAACAACAGATAGGTATGCCGAAAATAATTGAATTTGAGCGGCCATCAACAACTGGCATCCCTTACGAGATATTTTCAAATACGAAAACAGCAATACATCATAAAATAAGCATAACCTTTACTCTTTATTATCCCTTAATGCTGTATGAGCTCACTTAATTGGAACATCTTGTGTATTCGTATAATTGTAACTAATTGCTAAAACATTCAATATTAAATATTATTTTTAAGAAATGCATCGAAGTTAAAGTCGTATGCAAATCAGGACAAATCTTAAGTTCATAAAGATGCGATCACGGCAATGATTTTCATTGTTTTACCTAATGAACTTGCTAATTAATTTGAAATTACAAAGTAAAATGTGATTATCATTATTATTTTTTATTTCATTGGTAACGGAAACTCCTGGAAACTCCTTCAGATGTCGACGAATGTGCCAATAAGCCTTGTCAAAATGGTGCCGAATGTATCGATGGAGCCAATGCTTACACATGTAAATGTACCGCTGGTTACACTGGACCGAACTGCGAAACCAGTGAGTAATGTTAATTTGATTTAATATAACAGATATAATTCATTGTGTAACAATAAAATTGCTTGTAGATATGGACGATTGTTTCAACGAGCCCTGCCAAAATGGTGGTGAATGTATCGATGGAGTCAATTCGTACGAATGTAAATGTAAACCTGGATTTAAAGGAAAGAGCTGTGAAATCAGTAAGTTAGAGTTTATGTTGTCACAACATGCGATGAGTTCTACCTTCACGAATTTTCTAAACATTCTTCATGTAGATTTTATATACCATGTTCTTCTTTATAAAGAACGAACGGATGAAACTTTACGCATTTGCGCAAATATAACTATTTCCAAGAACTGCAAGGTTTCTGAAACTTAAAACGTATCCAATAAATAAAAAAGTTATCTTAGTTACGATTTTGTGTAAATGCACCTTTCCAGTAACGCCATTCAAAAATTCTTTTTCATTTTTTTTTGTAGAAGAGGTGGTAGTTCCTTTTGGTAAGTTTTTACTTTTGATATCACTGCTCATTGCAAGCTTCCATTTTATCTGCAACGACTTTTAAGACTAAAAACTTTAAACTTTTTAAAGTTAAAAAAAAAACAACTAAAAACTAAAAACTTACAAGTTTTGATGGAAATAGCTACCCAAAGAAATTAAAATTTGAGGACAACTAATGAAGTTGACCGCTGTGAAACATTGAGGCATTGGCCTCAGTTTCATACAACGGAATACCTCTATAGCAAGGAGGTATGAACCACAATCCACCACGTACTGGTGCACTTGGTGTTACTATACGAACCCCTGGGGAGGAAGGGTCGGGAAAAACTTGTATATTCAGAAGCTAGCTCAGGTAAACACAATGCATGAGATTAGGCGCTGCCATGTAAGGTTTCTCTGGGTTTTAAATTGCTTCAGTCGTGACTGAGAACGTACATGTAGGACCGAAAGTTATCKTTGGTATCGTCAATAATTGTATTTGAAATTTCATAGAATGCAAAAATTATAAGACATTGAACGCTCGTGACCGATCCATGAAAGTAAGAGCAGATAGAGCCAAGTGTGACAACTATCTCAGCAAAGGCTGGTACCGCTTTGAAGGCGAGGCAGGAACGGCTATCGCAACTAAATGCCCTCCTAGAAGGCACTGTGGAGCTCATGCCCCTGGATGGATGAAAGGTACTCATCCAAGCCAGGCAGAGGGGGCTGTCACTAGACATGTATGTTACAATTGGCGTGGTAACTGCTGCAGATGGACGAATAGTATTCGCGTGCGCAACTGTGGTGGGTTCTATGTGTACGAGCTGAATAAACCTCCTGCTTGCCGTCTGCGGTATTGTGGAAACGGAGATTAATAGGTAATAGAGGCATTTTAAAAGTGAGTMTTTATGTATAGTTTTGAAACACTTTCTCGGGTGTTTTAAACGGCTTCAAAACATAACTTGTAATGCAAGTCCTTTTTTTTTCAATTTCAGAACTGTAATCTCTCTAATGTCATTGGTCCACTGAGAGTACTCATTGGGAGTTTAGTATTGCAAATTGTTTAGGACTGGGATAGCATTGCTTTCACACAATGAATTGCAAATATTCTCAATGTTTAAAATTGCTCAAATAAATACAAATGAAAGCTAATTCAACAGGCTTACTTATTAAATACATCATTTTGTCAAGCTGACATGAAGTGACCAAGAATACAATTTTCTCAACGGTTTCGAAATGCCGAAAAAAACAGCGGAATATATATTGATATAATAATCTTCAAATCTAAAATATTTGGCAGTCATTTTATAAACTTCTACTTACAAAAAACTGATTCCCATTGACATTTAGAGCGATTAGACTTACGATGCAGTAATTTGTTTTAGAATAAAATGCCGTATTTATCCAATCAAAAACTGTATTTACGATTGTTCATCTGTCCAATCAAGTTTTATTTTGACATATGTTAGGAGAGAATGATGTACAATATTTTGGCTGAAGGTTTTTGATATGTCGAAGTGAAACCTAGTCTCCTCTCGCAGCCGTTAGGACGTTCGTTCCCAGGTCACTCGACCTGGGAACGAACGTCCTAACGGCTGCGAGAGGAGACTAAGTGAAACCGGAAGTGTACGAACATTTTAATGGTGTTATCTTTTTAATCTTTGAAATAATAGTGAGATTAAGGGATTGAGCTGTGTAAGTCACCATATCTCTTCATGTAGACACTATCAAATAAAAGGAAACTTGAAAAACTCGTTTCAAAATTACAGCAACAATAAATTTACACATCAAATAGTTTTCAGGCAGGWACAGATAATGTCAAAAACAGATGATAAAAAAAAACACTTTAAAAACAGTTTTGGAAAGGACTTATACTAAAAAC